AGGGAAAACACACACACACACACACACACAGGCACAAATAATCGACGATTCCCGCGACAATATGGGAAACTATCGGAAGTGGGAAGACAAAAACCCAGAAAGTATGGGAAAAGATTGGGAATCTTGTTATTTGTGTGTATTTATTTGTGTGTCCCAGGACCCCTTCATATTCAAAAATAGTCCAAGAATTGTTTGGGGACGATGTTTCGACTATTGTTTGATCACTTCTGCACTTCTGTTTTGCCATGTTCTAGCTGTCCTCCAAAATCCGCCTGTAGGAGGACGTGCCCGACATGAGACTGGGGCATGACACGCACTCGTGGCTCACTGGCGCATCGCCCCCACGCGGCAAAGGAGCGATGGCGCGGCAGCGCGGCCGAAATTACGATGCTTAAACTCATCGCTCAATAAATCTAGGGCCAGCTTCCAGCAAGAAGGCTCTCGAAACGAAACCTTGGCAAGCTACTGCCACGAACGCTGCAGGGGCGAACGTGCTCAAGAAGCTGGGCCCGTTTCCCAACAATGTCGCTAAGAAACATGAGCCCAGATGTTCGGGGGGAGGTTTCTTATCAGGAGGGGAAGGAACACACAGACACAAGTAATCGTCGACTCCCGGAAAGGTATGGGAAAATGTGGGAAGTGGAGGGACCCAGAAAATATAAGAGACATAAGGAGAGTCATGGGATGTGTGCAAATTGTACTGACCTCCGGCCAGTGCCGCCGATCCAGGGCGCTCTGGATAATAATGATGATGGTGATGATGATGATTATGATGATGACTATAATTATGGCTCTGATGATGACGGTGTTTATCATGGTAATGGCCATGAGGCCACCTTTGGGCGTATTGGACCGATCGTTCGGTGATGCGGGGCTTTCCTTGGGCCGTCTTGAGGGCCTCTTGGGGCCCAGTTGGCCCGTCTTGGGCTTCTCTTGGGCTCGAAAAAGTCATGTGGGAACATTCTGGGGGTCTCCAGAAGGCGCGCGGGGAGCCTCAAGAGATGTGAGAGTTTGGGGTCCGGGCCCATTAAGAATCCTCAGGCTTGGAGGACTGAGACTCAGGGGATTGAGCAAGGGACCTAGGGAAGCCTCTTGGGGGTTGTTCTGGGGCCTCTTGGGGCCTCTTTCGGGCCTCTTGGGGGCCTTCTGGGGCCTCCTGGGGGCTTCTGGGGGGCCTGTGGGCCCCCCAGTCCCCGAGCACTACATGCGTCGGGAATGGCGTCCCCCCCCCTTGCAGAGCGAAGCTTGGGCGAGCTCCAGTCCACGCTCTGAGAAATTCACACGCCGGATCGGCGGATATATGTTTTTGTGTCCCTGGGCTCCTTTTATTTTAACCAGATGCTCGACAGTACCTAACCGCGCCGTCCTGCGACAGTCGACGCTGCGCAACCGTCAGATACCCCCGCAGGCTCGGCTGGGGCAGCCGCCCATAGGAGACCAGAGGGTCCAAGAATGAGGAGCCGCGAGCCGTTCGATCGTCGCATGCTTGAGAACGCGCAAGCAGAGAACCTGCCAAACCGAGTGACGCCCATGCGACTTGCACGCAAGCTCGGGCCCTACGGAGGCCGACATGTCGCGCTGAGTGCCCAGATGGACGTATTCATGAACCCGATGCAGAGACACTGTGCACATGGCACTAGTGCCCGCCGCATGGTGTCGCGATAGTCCAGGACGAGGTGGCTGCGTGCATTGCGGAAGCATGGGCCCCTGAATTGAAACAAGATCGCCAATTCGTTAGGATTGACATTGGTTGGAAGCAAACACGGGCGCCGCCCAAGAAAGCTCTACCCATAGCGTGGCGAGTGTGCACAGGCTGCGAAGCGTCCAGGTCGTCACCGTGGTAGACTGCCAAGAAGTATTACAAGGGAGCTGACAACCTGAGACTGCCTCTCGAGGCCAGACGGTTGGATTCAGCACCATCTATATGTTTTAGGCACGACGTAGTTGAAAGTCAAATCTACGATTCGTTGGCCAGGTCCAGAGCCCAAAAGCGGAAAAGCCGTTCACTCCCCGTCCCAATTGAAGGTGGACGTCAGACATTCGAGCTCTCTTGAACCCCGAACCCCACACACTGTTCCACACCAACCCCCAAACGCCACACTGCTCCACACCCGGAAAATGTGCCTTGGGTCTATTTCGCCAAATGCTTGAGTATGCCTCGAAGGGGGTCCAAAGAATTTGATGAGTCGAGAATCGGATCCGTCATCGGCAGGGGAGCGAAACACGAGCTCTCGATCTGACTTGTCAAACGTGTGCACGGTATCGATAAACAACTTGTGTCTGGTTCCTGCTAGCTGTTGAAATCTCAAGCTGAGGGCTCAGCACCTCGACTTGCAAGCCAGCCAAATTGGCGATCCTGGGCAACAGTTGGCAAAGCAGACACGACACTGGCACGAGTGAGAGCTCTAAATCTTTCGTTCATTTGAGAATACCCCTGAATATAGTGAAAGCTCTGCACGTTAGATGGCAACCCCGACTTAAACAAACTCCCGACAACAAAATGTCTTTCCATGGCATTGCCCCACATATCCGAATTGTGCGATCCACGTAAAGGGGATGGCAAATTGCTTAGCGGAATGATGAACTTATTTAGTGTTGTTGTTGCAATGCCGTCTGTTCTCGATGCCGAGCCCCCGGCCACTTTGTTCACCATAAAAACGCCGGAAGATGCCGAGGGACAGAGCGTCTTCGCTTCGATTCAAATATCGAAGTCCCGTGTGACAGATTGGTCGAGTTGGGGAGAAGCTTGGAATTATCCCAGTGCGACCCTACCTAGGAGTTGGAACCCTTAGGAAAGCAGCATTAGTAGTAACAGTAACGCTAAGCTAAAGCTAAGCTAAAGCTAAGCCACAGCTAAGCTAAAGTTAAGCTAAAGTTAAGCTAAAGCTAAGCTAAAGCTAAGCTAAAGCTAAGCTAAAGCTGAGCAACAGCTAAGCTAAAGCTAAGCTACAGCTAAGCTAAAGCTAAGCTGACTAAGCTCAAGTTGAGTTAAAGCTAAGCTAAAGCTAAGTTCAAGCTCAGCTAAACGCTAAGCGAAAAGCTAAGCGAAACGCTAAGCTAAAGCTAAGCTACAGCTAAGCTAAAGCTAAGCTAAAGCTAAGCTAATGCTAAGCTAAAGCTAAAGCTAAAGCTAAAGCTGAAGCTCCAAGGGGACTGGGGGGAACCGCGGGGCGGGGACCGGGGGAACCGCCCGGGGCGTGTAGCACTGCCCGGCCCCTTTAAGCTAAGAGAGTAAGAACCCTTCTAGGCAGAGCCTAGGTAGGGAACAAAAACAATGTAAGCCCGAGCCAGGGGTTACTTTGGCAGCCTCTTCTCCACCGACATGCTGAAGCCAGCGGTCAGCGACACATGAGTGGAGTGGCAACACGAAGCAAGGACACAGGTTTAGAAGATTCGTTCGGACGCGAGCACGCTCCCATAGCTCTGAGCTTGGCGAAAGCCTCTTGTCTTGTAGCCTCTACGGGACCGAGCGGAGGCAACATGAGCCGCAAAGGAAGCCGAGTAAGCCTGGGCATCGAGATTCACGCTGCTGTTGGCGATCCGAATGCGAACCCCAATGGCGATCGAATCGATCTGGCAGTCAGGCACAGTCTTGAAACACGAGCCATGTAGTTCCAGCAAGCTTTGAGCCCGCGAAGACATGGAACCCCTGGGAGTACCTATTGCACTTCTCCGAAAGCACAAATACCCAGCCTGCAAGAATCCAGAAAACTCGCAGCATGCCTGACCCTGAGCCTGAAGTACATCATGTAAGTTGCGGACGAGTTGGCGAAGCTTTGCGGGGCCCCAGTGAGTCCGTTAGAGGAATGTAGGAGATTTGGGGACACAAGTGGCAGCTAAGCTTAAGAAGCGCAGACCGCAGCAGCTTTGTAAGGTACATGTGCCGCCCCCCTTCTAGCGCGTGGAGGATGAACGTGGGGCTCTGGCAGACAGCTTCCACTGACAGGTACGCAGGCAATCCCAGGGGCCTCTGGGCGTATCTGCCCAGATGTGAAAAACCAGTGCCGGCTGCAAGTTCAAACAAGCGATGCCCACGCTTCTGAAACAGCACACTTGCCGAGCACGGAAGTCCATGTTTTCGAGAGTGGTTGTGGTTATCCCCCGTTGTCGGGTGTTGCCTTCCTCTGCAGCTGGTCCGTACTGGGAAGGATGCTTTGAGACAGCGTCTAAGATGTTGATGCAAGCCTTCGAGATGCTGCGACTGGGATACATCGAACAGGATCGAAGGACATGCAGACGACGAATGAAAGCCTCAACCGCTTTCGAGTCGTCAAAGGTGGCCCGCACTTGATTGCATGGTCGGAGGTGAGGGGGTGAGATTAAAGTGGAACGGAGAGCCCCCCTACCGGGAAATCGATTTCGGTTTCGTGTTCGTGTGTGCCGTGCGTGAATGTGAGATCGATTGTGAAATCGATTGTGATATCGAGAGTGAGGTCGATAGTGAGACCCAATGTGAGATCGATAGTGAGATCGATAGTGAGTTCGATAGTGAGATCGATAGTGAGACCGAATGTGAGATCGATTGTGATATTGATTGTGATATCGATCGTGAGATCGATTGTGAGATCGAACGAGAGGTCGATCATGACTTCGATAGTGAGTTCGATAGTGAGATCGATAGTCAGATCGATTGTGGCTAATGGCCGTTAGGACGTGTGTAACAATTTCTTAACTCTGATCCGGGTGGAGGGTGGGCTCAGGATGGCGTCTCGCTAGCCTTCGCCGGACGTGGCCGTTTTGGCTGAAGCCGGCGAGTTGCGAAACGTTAGAGTGGCCTTAGTTTGCCAGGGACACAGCTCGTTACCAGCAATGTCCCTCTTCCCGCCTGCCGCGCCTGGCGTGGGGCCCGCGGCAGGGTTCGCGGGGCCACCCCGCGCGGCGGGCGGGGGAGTCGGCGGGGCAGAGGGCGGTGCCGGTACGAGGGGGCCAGGCGGGGCAGGCGGCGCATCAGCTGGAGCGACGGCCGCGCTTCGTGGTCTCACCTTCGGCGCCGCTGCCAGGTCGCTGGGCTTCTCCGAGGACCTCCTCAAGCCTTACGTGGAGGCGCTCGGGGGCGCGTGGGAGAGCACCACCGTGAGCGACGTGCACGGCAGCCTCGACAGCGACATGTACGCGGCGCTGTGGGCGGTTAAGACCGAGGAGGGCGTCGACATCACCCATATCGCGCGCGGCCAGCTCCGCGCCTCGTTGCGGGGCCTGGCGCACGCGGTGGGGCTGCCCCCCCCACTCCTGGGCGACATGCCGGCCGTGGTCAGCCAGGGCCCCCTGCAGGCGCCGCAGGCCGCGGCGGCGGCGCCGGCGCAGCAGCCCGAGGTGCACGAGATGAGCAGCGTCATCGACCAGGGGTCGAAAGTCAAGTTCACGATGCTCCCTGCCCCGAAGCTCAAGGAGCTCAACGCGAACTACGCGCGGGAGACTGGGCGCCCGCCCAGGGACTACGAGGACACGACGGACGTCCAGCCCTCGGCGCTGGCCGCCCGGCTCGCCGCGGGCGAGGCGCCGCGCGTCGACTTCAGTGTCTTCGGCCCCTTTGGGAAACGGATCCAGCGGCTCATCAACTTCCAGGCCGACGTCTGGGTGAGCGGCCAGCTGGTGAAGAAGAAGCTCGCCGGGCCAATGAACTTAATTCGAGACTTGGCGGAAGGGCTGGCGAGTCTTCCGCGTGGCGGCTATCAAGCTCCAACTTTCGAGGCCGGGTCCCATCGACGATTTTGAGGAAGGGGTGCGGCTCCTCAACTCGACCTTCCCCCGTGACTGGGGGGCCGTTTTCCTGACCGTCTGCCACTGCTTGGAGGAGCGCTGGGAGCAGGTCCGCACGAAGATAGAGGACTTGGTGGAGAAGGGCAAGTTCCAGGGCGACTTCGACCGGGAGCGCCCCTGGGAAGCCGTATTCTCCTACACGGCCTACGACAGCGGGCAAGACTCGCAGTGGTGGAAGATCCACTTGGAGCTCCCATGCCTGACCGGCAGGACGGGCGGCCGCTCTCGCACGTCGGAGGTCGAGGGCGGCCCATCAGCCGTCGACCAGATCGAACGGCAATCCGATAAGCGGGCTGCTGACCACCACGGCGACGACTCTGAACGCCCCACGGGCGCTGGGTCGAAGAGGGCCAAGAAGGCGAAGTCTCATTGGCAGCAGGTCAGGGACAACAACGCGGCCGGTGAAACCAAGGACGGCCGGTTCACGAAACACCAGGGCGTCGAGTTGTGTTTCAACTGGAACCGCAACGCCCACACGGCTGCTCGTCGCCCTGCCCAGCGAACCGGCAGCACGTGTGTGAATGGTGCAAGGGGCCGCACCGGGCGATCGATGATTCGTGCCCGGCGCCGAAGCGCCCCGAGGGCTGGCGCCCGGGCAACAGGGGCGGCGGCAAGGGAGGGGGGAAACACCCCCGGTGACTAGGCCGCGGCCCCAGTACCTTGACAAGGACGGCCTCTTCCAGGCCGGGTACCTCAACAAGCATTGCCCCAATAAGGTCGGCCCCAATAAGGTCTGCGCTGGCGGCCCCAGAGCCGGTCGCGTCGCCCCGCGCCGAGCCGGCGCTTGAAACGCGCTGGCGCGAGCTTGCCGGCAGACCCCCGGCCCCCGGGCCCCCGGGGCCCCAGGCTTCGGGGCCCGCCGGGCGCGCTGGCGGCGCTGCCGGGGGGCCCGCCGGGGCCGCCAGGCGCGCTGATGACGCAGCCAGGGCTCACGCGCTGCCGGGGCGTCGCGGACTGGCCCGCGCGTGGGGCTCCCACCTCGGCGCATTGGCGAAGCTGCAGCGCCGGCTCGGGGAGCTCCGGGCCCGGCGAGGCCAGCGGGCGCAGCGCGGCGACGCTCCGGCCGCAGCTCGTCCGACGCCGCCAGCGCTGGCGCAGCCGGCTGGCTACCCCGGCCAAGACATGTGGGATCGGAGACGCGTGCGGCCCCGTCGACCACCCGGCGTGCCGGAGGGCCCATCCGCGCGTGAGGAGCGGTCGGCCCAGGATGCCCTCTGCACCGCCGGCCTCCGCAACCCTCACAGGGTAGTGAAGGCGTGGGGCGACCTCCAGGAGGTCATGGCGGCTGCGCGGGCAGCCCCTCTGCGGGCGCGGGCACGTGAGCCCGCTCTGGTCGGGATGGTGGGCGCGTGCGGGGATCGGCCTTCTCGCGCGCCCCCGCCCGAGTCTGCTGTCGCGTCTGCCCGCGACGAGGTGGCGGCGGCCTTGGGTTCGGGGAGGGCGCAGGCCGAGGAGCACCATCCGTCCTCCCCACTGCGGCACGAGATCTTCGCGGAGTGCGCCCGCCGGTCGAAGGACCCCGACGTGCACGTGCCCATCTGGCTCCGGGAGGGGGCCCCGATGGGCGTCCGGCGAGCGATCGCCCCCGGCGGCCATTTCCCGTTGGCGGCCGCAGAGGCGACCCTTGCAGTGGACGCCTTCCGCAGGGAGTTTTGTTTTTCAGGAAACCATCGCTCGTTCGTGGATGATGTCGGCGAGAACGAGGCGCCGACGCCCCCCCTCGTCCGGGAGTACCTGGAGAAGGGGTTCGGCCGAGCATTTCCGTCTCGCGAGGCCGCCGAGGAGGTCTTCGGGGCCACGTATCCCGCGCCGCTCGGAAACGTCCGGAAGCGGAAGCAGGGCGGGGACGGCTGGAAGAACCGCATCATCCAGGACTTGAAGGCATCGCGGGTGAACCTCCTCAGCTCCACTCCCGAGCGGGCGGTGCTGCCCCGTGGCATCGACCACGCCGTAGTCATGGCGACCCTCTTTACGGCGGACGGAGCCGACCACGGGGAGATCTTCGTCATCGATTTCTCAGACGCCTTCATGTCTTGCCCGCTCCACGAGAGCGATCGCCCGCACAATTGCGCCGAGGTGCGGGGCCTCGAGGCGGAGAACGACTACACGTTCATCGTGTGGGCGGTGCTCGGGTTCGGGGGAAAGGCGAGTCCCTTGGTCTGGGCCCGCGTGGCCAGCGCGGCGGCGCGGACTGCGCAGGCGCTGACGCTGAGCGGGGGCCTGCGGCTCCAGCTGTACGTGGACGACCCGGCGCTGGCGGTGCAGGGCCCTCCGCGTGCGTGCGAGCAAGATTTCGATCTGGCCTTGCTGCGGTGGCTCGTGCTCGGGCTGCGCATCGCGTGGAAGAAGGGCCGCCACGCGCACGGGCCCCTCCGCGGGGGCCCGTGTCCGGCCCTGGAGCACGAGTGGATCGGCATTCGCTTCGCGATGGCCGAGGACTGCGCCGTCATGGGGCTCACCCAGAACTTCGTCGATGAGTTGCTGGAGCTCCTCCGCCACTTCATGTCGAAGAAGGGCCATGCGCCGATCAAGCAAGCGCGGTCGTTGGTGGGGAAGGCAGCCCGGGTTGCTCAGATCATCCCGGCCGCGACCCCGTTCGCCGCGGCCCTGTGGGCGGCGCTGACGGGGGCCCTCCGCCAGGCGAACGCGGGGAAGCGGGAGTCCCCGCCGAACACGGTGCCGCTCCAGCGCTTCTTCACCGCGGCTCGCTGGTTCCGCGCGTTGCTGGAGCCAGTCGACGAGGCGCGCCGACCCGAGTGCTCCTTCCCGCTGGAGCGGCGCGTGTATCCGCGCCCCGACGCGGTTCAGTGGCCGCGATCCAGATACCACGTTGAATTTGACGCCTGCCCCTGGGGGGGCGGCGCCGCGCTGTTCGAGGGCGCGACCCCAGTCGAGTGGTTTGCGATTTCGTGGGACCAGGAGGTGCTCGACGTCTTCGGAGCCGTTCTGGGCTTGGCAAAGTATCAGAGCCTCTGGGAGTTCATCACGCTCCTCCTCGCGCTCATCATTTGGCGGTGCCACGCGGAGCACGCCGTGCTCTACGTCCTCGGGGACAACGTGGCGGCCTTGCAGGACGCGATGCAGCTCAAAGGCAGCGGAGACATGCTTGTCGTCGCCCGGGAGATCGCCTGGCGGGCTGCTCGGTGGCCCCTGCACTTCGAGTGCGCCCACTTGCCCAAGGAGTTCAACCTCGTCGCCGACTCCCTGAGCCGTCTGGCGGCCGTGCCTCCCGCGGCGTTCCCAGCTAGGCCTGCGCGGCGTGCCGCGGAGCCCCGTGCCCGCGCGGCGCCAGGCGTGGCGGGCCCGGGTTCCAGAGTGAGACGTGCGCCACGCCAGTCTCAGCCGCGTGCTCCTGGACGCCCAGCGGGGGCCTGGGCAGGGCGGCGCCAGGCCATGAAGGCGGCGCCGTCGCTCGGCTCCTGGGGCAAAGGCAGTGCAAGGCGGCGCGAGACCATGTCAGCAGAGGGGTGGCTTGAAAAGTTTTGCTTTCATCGCTCCATTCCCCTCCTCGCCCCGCCGGAGTTCCCCGGGGGCGTGGCGGCGCGCGGTCCGGGGCCGCCCCCGCGGGCGCCCGGCGGGGAAGGTATTTATTTTTTCTTAAATACCTCCCCCCCCGCTTCCGCTGGGGGGGGGGCCCGCGCACCCCCGGGCTTTCCCCGAGCGGCCCCCGGAGCGGCCGGCGGCCGGCGCCCGGCGGGGGAGGTATTTATTTTTTCTTAGATACCTCCCCCCCCCGCTTCCGCTGGGGGGGGACCCGTGCGCCCCGCGGGGGGGCCGCCGGCCCCCCCCCCGGCGGGCGCCCGGAGACGGCCGGTGCAAAAGTGACCTAACGTCGGCTAGGTCACTGTTGAAATCGGCCGCCCCCTGGCGCCGCCAGGGGGCGCCCGGCGGCGGCCTGCCCGGCTTGGCGGGGGTCGCCGGGGCCGCAGCGTTCGCCCCGGGGCCGTCGGGGTCTTCCTCGGCGGGCAAGCGGGGGGGGCGCCCCCCTCCTCGGCTAATTATAGTTTGAAACATCCCCGCCCACCCCTATAGCGCCGCGGCCCGAGGCGGGCCGGCTCCGCGCCATCGCCCACGGCGCGCCCCGCGCGCCATGGGCGCATTCCAGCCGCGGTGGGATCTGGCAGCCAGCTTGGCTGGACGCAAACGGCGTCAGGTTGGGCAGGATCCAGGCCCGGCGTCCGCCAGGTATCGGGGTAGTGCACCCCTCAGCGCGGCAGTTGGCAGCGCGTCGGGTCCCAGCCCGGCGCGGCCATGCCTGGCGCCAGGAGGCGGTGGCCCCCAGGGTACGGCGGCGCAGCAAGGGGAGGCCACGCGGCCGTCGATCCCTGCATGGGTTGCGGGACGAGGCGCCCGGGAGGCACCAGTACCGGAGGGGGTGCCTTGCGGACCTCACGTCGGCGCAGGCCCAGGCCCGCGCCCTCGAGCAGTTCGACGCGGAAGTGCTGGCGACGACGACCGCGAACTCGGAGGCGTCGCGCCGCCGGACACTCAAGGCCATCTTCGAGCAGTGGGGCGTCGAGATGATCCCGCTGACCCGGCAGAAGATCAGGCGGCTTGGCGCCTCGCTGAAGGCTGGCGGATACAGGTCCGCTGCCCTGTACCTGTCGCTGGCTAAGAAGATGCACGTGCAGGCCGACCTCGACTTCCCCCCCGCCTTGGGCCAAGCCTTGGCCGAGGCACGGCGTTCGTGCGAGCGGGGGCTCGGGCCAGACCGCAAGGTCGAGGGCATTGCGATGGAGTCGTTAGCCCAGCTCCTGACGGACGTGACTCCGCTGGTTGCGGGGGGCCCCGCCAACCCCCGGTTGGCGCTGCTAGCGGGCGCCTGGTGGCTCACGCGCGAGATCGAGCTGTCCGCCGCGCCAGCGCACATGGTCACCTTCCATGCCGGGACGGACGGCCGACTCGCCGCCACGTGGCTGTTGCCCGCGTCAAAGACGGACGCTCGGGCTTTAGGCGTGGCCCGCACACACGGCTGCTGCTGCGGCGCTGGGGTCTTCGGCAATGCCTGCCCGGCCCACGCGCTGTGGGCCCAGCGGTCATGGCTCAGGGCTCGGTTTCCTTCGCGGCATTCGGCGGGCGGCCTGCCCGCGCTTGACCTGGCCTTGTTCCCGGACCCCGAGGGCAAGGTGTGCGAGAAGGACGCGGTCGTCGCCACCATCCGGGCCGCCGCGGAGGCGCTCGGCCTGCCCGCGGTCTCTGCAGACGGCCTCTACCTCTGGGGAGGGCACTCTCTCCGGGTGTCCGGCGCCCAGAGCCTTGCCCGCGCTGGCCTGGACATCTGGCTTATCCAGTTGTTGGGGCGTTGGGGGAGCGACGCCGTCCTCGGGTACATCCGGGCTGCGCCGTTGGCGGTGTCCACGACCTGGGCGCTCCGGGCCTCTTGCGGCGCCTCCCCGGGCGCGTCGGTCTCGCTGAGCCTGGACGAGGTGGCGGGCCAGCTCGCAGCGACGTCAACAGGGCGCCGGGCCCGACGCGAGGGCGCCACAGGTCCTGCGACGGCATCGCGTCTCGACGATCTTCTCGAGCGGGTTCGCTGCCTCGAGTCCAGCGCCGGGGAAGGGTCGCAGGAGCGGGCGACGATCCGCCTCGACGTCGCGGAGATAAAAAGGCACCTGGATTGGGAGTCCCTTCGTCTTCGGGCGATCAGCGAGGAATCCTGCCAGGGCGCCCCCGCGTCGCCTTCGGCCGGCCTAGACGAGGACGTCGCCCTCGTCAGGAATGAGGCCAGTGGCGCGTACCATGCAGTGCTGGTCTTCGACGCAGGTGGAGAGGACAGCCAAGGTCTCTGCAGGTGCCTTTGGCAGTTTGAGTGCGGCCGGAACGCCGTGCGCGTCAGTGCCCTTCCCCAGTTGTACAAAGACCTCTGCGGACGCTGTTTCCCAGTGCTCCGCAGGGCGCGCAAGGCAGTGCTGTGCGGTAGTGCGGGCCCCGGCAGCGCTGGTCAGGATGGGCCCCGTGCTCGCGGACCGCGCTAGGCCGGGTGCTGCCGCAACCGCATGAAAACATCGCATGCGCCCTCGATGTTGGAGTCAGTAGGTCCAGGCGGGTCGGGGGGGCATGTTGATCATAGGCAGAAGTTGTTGCTAATGGCCGTTAGGACGTGTGTAACAATTTCTTAACTCTGATCCGGGTGGAGGGCGGGCTCAGGATGGCGTCTCGCTAGCCTTCGCCGGACGTGGCCGTTTTGGCTGAAGCCGGCGAGTTGCGAAACGTTCCCACCCACCCGAGTCCCGTTTCGGATGAATTCTGCATTTTCCAATTGCGCCTGGGAGCGCGCAGAACGCGGGCCCCGTGCTCGCGGACCGCGCTAGGCTGGGTGCTGCCGCAACCGCATGAAAACATCGCATGCGCCCTCGATGTTGGGAGTCAGTAGGTCCAGGCGGGTCGGGGGGGCATGTTGATCATAGGCAGAAATTGTTAGATCGATTGTGAGATCGATTGTAATATCGATAGTGAGATCGATAGTGAGACCGAATGTGAGATCGATTGTGAGATCGATAGTGAGATCGATCGAATGAGATCGATAGTGATATCGGTAGTGAGATCGATCGTGAGACCGAATGTGAGATCGATCGTGAGATCGATAGCCAGATCGATTGTGAGGTTTATTGTGGGATCGATTGTGATATCGATAGTGAGGTCGTTAGTGAGATCGAGTGTGAGGTCGATAGCCAGATCGATTGTGAGATTGATCGAATGAGATCGATAATGAGATCGATAGCGAGATCGATCGTGAGATCGATCGAGTGCGACGGTGGTCCCCCCCCCCCCTCGCCTCCTTATCACCCGAAGGGTGGTCTATGCGGTATCCATGCGGAGCGAAGGCAGGAATTGAAACAAACGCGGCCACTATATGGCCTTGAGCAGAAACTACCAGCTGCTGCTCTACAGGGATCCCAAGCGAACACATGATGCAATCGATGCGCCCGCCTGCAGTGGCGCCAGGATGAAACCAGGAGGAGCCCTCCTGGTTCCACCATGGGCCCACTCCTCCCTCTCTCCCTCCCTCCGCCCTCCTCCTGGAGGGCGGGGGGAGGGAGGATGAGGGAGGAGGAAAGGAGGGAGGAAGGAAGGAAGGGAGGGAAGAAGGGAGGGAGGAAGGGAGGAGGATGAGTAAAGGAGGAAGGAAGGGAGGGAGGGAGGAAGGGAGGGAGGGAGGAAGGGAGGGAGGAAGGGAGGGAGGGAAGGAGGGAGGGAGGGAGGAGGGAGGGAGGAAGAGAGGGAGGGAGGGAGGGAGGCAGGGAGGGAGGAGCGAGGCGCCCCCGGCGGGGCCGGCCGCCGCGGGCCCACAGGAGGGTGTCGGTGGCGGCGGGGGCACCGAGCGTCCGCCCGCAGGCTCCGCAGCCGCCCCCCGCTTGCTCTCGGGGCTGCTCCCGCCCCCGCGTCGCACGCTTCCGTCCGCCCGGGGCCCTCCCCACCCGCTTCCTCCTCTCCTCCTCCTCCCCCTCGAAGAAGAAGGGAAAGAGGCACAAACATGAAGTCGGGCCTGTCCCTCTACAGGAAGAGTATGCCAAAATAGTCCCAAAATAGTCCAGTCAGAAAATAGCCTGGGGACTCTTTTTTGAACATTTCTGGGCCACTTTGGAGTATTTGGGGGGTATTTCTACTTGTTCGTCGAAAATCCCCCTGTAGGGGGACAGGCCCGACTTAACACAAACAGAAACTGTTGGCGCTCTGCGCCGATTTCTTGGATCTGCACTGGGCCCCTCCCCCCCGGCCCGCGCCAAAAGTTTATGCTTATGCCGCTCGTTATCACCGGTGCGTAGCACCCCGCAGATGCGGATGAGGGCGAGGGGGGCAGTCTGCGAGACTCTGGAGAAGCCCGCCGCAGGCGCCAAAGTTTCACACATTATACAGCGAGCCCGCCGCAGGCGCCGATTTGTTCGTGAAACCGATGTGGGTAGGTCGCGGGTGGGTCGCAAATGTGTCGCGGGTGGGTCGCGGGTGGGTCGCGGGTCGGACGACGACAACAAACAAACAACGCAACAAGCAGAATCCCTACCACGGATCCCCACTTCAGCCACGGACCCAGGGAATGACCGTTCGGCCCCCTCACTCTGATTGTGATTACTCTTCTTATTATTATTATGTTTCGTATTGTTATGTTTTTTTCTTCTACCCCTGGCCCCTCCCCCTCACCCTCCTCCTCCACGCCTCTTCCTTAGGGGTCGGGTAGGGGATCGACGACTACAGAAGAATTGAGCTGCCTCAAAGTAGGAATGCTCGTCGGATCTGGAACACACGCGGAACTGTCGTAAAATCGCCGAACACTCGACGTGTTTTCGTGCAGATTCGACGAACAATAAGATTTGGGGGTAAGTCAACTCTGCAGTCAACCCCCTGATCGAATGAGTAGCTCCTCCCTGTCGCACCCCCCGACGTGTCAGCAGGGCGGTCTGGTCGTTTCGCCTGGAACCCCTATCACCATGTGCAGACGGGCCGCTGAAGAAGGAACCCTTTGCGTTGGGGAGGGGCTCAGTGGTCCTTAATTGCTGTACAATGTGTGGCTTAGGTTGTCCTTTGGTCCTCCTTGGGGAAATCGAAGCTTACCTCACGGAAAAAATGCGCATCGTTCCTTACTTAGGGTTCCTTGGGGCAGCGTTTCGGCCATATGATCCTGAAGCCTGAAATCTGCAGCTGCGTCAAGGACGGAGGGCAGTTCCTTCTCGATGCCGACGTCTCGCCTCAGCGCGCCGCGCACCCTCGTCTCCAAGACCTTTTCTGCAGCAGCCTCGGGGATGGAGGGCGCGGCTTTCAAAATGGGCTGTCGCCTCTTCGCCGCGCAGTTCCGTTGTCAAAACTTGCAGCAGCTTCAAGGATGGAGGGCGCGGTTTTCAAAATGGGTCATCGCCTCTTCGCCGCGCACCTTCGCCCTCAATACCTTCACCAACTTCAAGGATGAAGGGCGGTTATGTTTCAAAATGTGGCTCTCGCCCCAGCGCCGCGCACATTCGTTTTCAAAGGTTGCAACCAGTTCAAGGATGAAGGGCGGATGTTTTTCAAAATGTGGCTCTCGCCTCAGCGCCGCGCACATTCGTCTTAAAGGGTCGCAACAAGTTCATTACTGCTAAGGCCTTATGGCTGGTGCCGCCGACCCTGGACGACGACCACCACGATGGAAGAGGCATTCGGCAAGGTCGGGATCAGACGCTCCCAAGAGTCCCAAGAGGCCGCACGAGGCACCCAAGAGGTGCCCAAGAACCCCCACGAAGTTCTGGGGGGTGCCTTGGGAGCTTGCGAGCCTTTTGGTAGCCTCCTGGGGCTTCCTGGCGGTTCCTTGGGGGCGCCTGGGGGCCTCGTGGGGGCCTCTGGAGGGCCTCCTGGGCCACGGGATCCCCCGGGGGGTTTGTAGTCTGACCCTGGACAACCCCCCAGGACCACCCCCCAGGCCCCCCCGCCTACCCCCCCCCCAGACTCCCCCCCCCGGCGGGGAAAGGATCAAGTGGAAGGGGTTCCTCGTTGACTCAACTACGACGGTGTTCAGTTTCGCTTAAGCAGTTCGGATCGGCGACGACGACGACGGCGTCGACGACGACAAGTCAAACGAAACTGCCTCTCGCACACGCCGACAGGTCTAATTTCGCAACCAAATTTGTTTAACTTAGGTCACCGCTTGAGTTTCTATTACCCTGAAACAAGAAGCTGGACATACACAATCGCTTCACGGGTGAAGAGCGGTTTCTGTTAAAACAATGGCGTTCGTCAGGACCCGTAACTTGGGCATACGGTACAGCGGCACGAATGGAGGGTGGTTCTTTTTCAAAATGTCGGCACAGGCACCCCCCTGAGGGAAAAACGATGTGGTTTATGATTGTAGCCTGCCTCTGAACATGTGTTGATGCGTTCTCGCCGCCTGGCTGTGCGCGCTGAAGTGCTGCAGTGCGGACCTGGCTACAGCAGTCTCGGGGCGCCGACGGCTCGGAAGCAGCGAATCCCCGAACTCAGGCGCCAACTCTTGGAGTTGAGAGTTGGTTTCGGAATTCCTGAACTCACCCGCCGCCCGTGCCCCGCCGCGTTCGAAAGGCGGGGCTGCCGCGGTCGCTTGCGCCACAGAGACGACAGCATTGGGCAGCTAGAATTTGACACCGCGCCTCAAAGCAACCCAGGCTGAGCGGGCCGACAGGTTTGAGCAGCGAATGGGGCGAGCCCCTAGGAATGGCAGACGCCGAAGCCTTTTGTCTTTCCCTCTCTCTCACCTTTCGACGCCCCTCGAGCGTCCTCCCCTCCAGGCCCCCTGGTCCCTCCGCTCCCCTCCCTCGAGCAGAATGTCGTGGTTGATGGCGCCTGGCGCCTGGCAGCTAGGGACCTGGGGAACGGTCTAGTGGATTTGGCGAACGGCAGCCCCCCGTCGAGACGGGTGCACCCCCTGGACGCCGTTGTCGCCGTGCCGCTCGCTGCTGCATTCGAGGAAGCCGCGCCAGGCATGCCGAAGCCTGCGGCTGTGGCACGCCACGCCTGGCTGCGCGCCATAGCGCCTCGCGGGGACGGCCCCCAGACACTGGTGCCACACGAGGTTGCGCCCTGGGACGAGAGATGCCCGTGGTTCGTGCCGACAGACAACGCCCGCGTGCAGCCCCGCTGGGTTGTCCATAGCCTGTCCAAACGCTTTGCTACAAGAACAGCTGTGGTCATGATGTCCGCATCTGCGCACCCGCTTGTTATCCGAGCCTCCTTCTCTCGCGTGTCCACATCGAATCCCCCTGTGTTGTCCACGACTAGTCCTCCGAGGCCGGGGCCGAGGGGAAGAAAGCGTGGTCGACAAAACTTGCGTCGAATGAATACATTTTGCTTCCAAAGGCAAGGGTACGCCGACGCAGCACAAAAACATGGAGCCAACATGTTGAGGGGGTCCCGGCGCACTGAAAAAAAGACGGCGGCCCAAAACCCAGCAGAGAAGTTTGTCGACGGGCCCTGGGCCGTTTTGTTTCGACCGCGCTGGCATTGCCCAAGGAGAGATCAGCCTGTGGGGACACGTGGGCCTCGTGGGCCATGGGCCACAAGGCACGGAGTGCACGGGCCACGGACCACATCTGTTCCAGCGGGACACTGGCCATGTGTGAAGTCTTGACGCTTCGCGTATCCTCACATTCCCGTGGTGGGAAAGGCAAGAGCAAGGGCGGCAAGCGGAAGGGAGGCGAAGGCAATAGGATTGACCGCAGTTGTTCCCCAGCACCGAGCGTTGGGTCGAGCGAGTTTGACGACCGGCTTGTCGACACCTTCGGCTGGGAGCGGGTCTTCGACCAACACGACTGCGACCGGACCGGAATCAGTCTGAATTTCTTTGGGATCCGGCGCATCGCCCACCAGCACTTCAGAAAGGGCACACTCAAGCTTGCCCCGATTGACTCAGGCCAGGGTGGCGAGGCTGACATAGTGATCTTCCTCACCACCAGGTCCAACGGGAGCCACAACTGGGGCTTCATCGATGACGCCAGCAGACTCAACGTTGCGATCACCAGGGCCGCCCGGTTCGTCATAGTGATCGGGGACGGGCGAATGTTCGCAAGCGCCACCTCGTCAAGGCTTCGGGTGCTGTCGGAATACGGGGGGGTCACCAACCTCTGGGTCAGGATCAAGAGGAACCGCACCCCAGGCAATCGCCTCCTCCTGGAACCGGACACCGCCTTCGACCCGATCCACGACCTCGCGACCTGGGTCACCACCCTTGTCTCCTGGTCCAGCAACGCCGAAGGAGACGACGCGACGAAGGAGATGGATTCGGCCATCAAGCACGCCCGCGAGTCCCTGGCCAACAGCTTCGCGGACAGAGTCGAGGCGCCGCTCGAGCCGGATTTCAACTGGGAAGCCCTGGGGCGTTCCATTCTGGACGCCATGAACAACCTCCTCTCGGCGCCTGCGTTCGCCGTGGTCCTCCACCTGGTCTCCGGACTCCACCCCCACGAGTTCTCCCTGGCGGACACCCCCAGGGACCCAGGCAGACTCGACCGGAAAGCCTGGTCCCACTTCGGCTTCCTCTACAACATGGCCATCGGCTTGGACGCCAGCAACCTGGTCTACAACATGTTCTGGGCCTGCCTGGTGTGGGCGTTGGGCTCGGGCGCCCCCTGGGAGGACAACACACGCGCGACCTCAACCGACCCCCTTCCACCGCACCCGGCGTCGAAGGGGCACCGCGGGCCCGGGCGCCAGTGCACACCGAAAGGATTTTTCAGGCAAGTCCCCCTGGCATGGAGCGCGTCCACCAGCAAGTGTTGTTGCCACAGGTCACACCCCGGCATGGACACCCTGGCGCTGCTCCTTCGCGCCGGACACAAAGACCCCGAGTTGCGCGACCGACTGAAGGACACTGACGACCGCCCCCTGGACACACGGAA